ATCTACCCTCACAAGTTAAAGAACTAGAGAGCAAACAGAAAGAAAACCCAAGAGCAAGGAGAAGGAAGGAAATAGTAATAATCACAGCAAAAATAAATGACCTGGAGACCAAAAAAAAAAAACAATTCAAAGAATCAGTGAAACAAAGAGCTGGTTCTTTGAAAAGATAAACAAAATGGATGGGTCCTTAGCTAGACTCACCATGAAACAGAGAGAGAGAACCCAAATGGAGAAAATCAGAAATGAAAGATGAGAAATAATAACTCACACCACAGAACCAAAAAGGATTGTGAACAAATATTATGAACAATTATACAGCAACAAATTTGACAATCTAAGCAAAATGGACACATTTCTGGAAACACATCGTCTCCCAAAACTCAACCGGGAAGAGATAGAAAATTCGAACAGACCAATAACAACAGAAGAAATTGAAGATGTGATCAAACATCTTCCCAGCAAACAAAAGCCAAGGCCCGGTCAGCTTCAGAGGGAATTTAACAAATATTCAAAGAAGGACTAATACCCATTCTCCTTGAACTATTTCAAAAAATTCAAGAAGGAAGACTTCCAAACTCGTTTTGAGGCCAGCATAATTCTATTTCCAAAACCAGAAAAAGACAGTACAAAGAAAAAAAACAACAGGCCAATAATATCCCTGATGAACATGGATGCCAAAATCCTGAACAAAATACTAGCAAATCAAATCCAGCAACATATCAAATAAATGATTCACCATGACCAAGTGGGATTCATCCCAGGGATGCAACGCTGGTACAATATTCACAAATCAATAAATGTGTAAAAAAAAAAAAAAAAAAAAAAAACCACACACCCCTGGCCGGTTTGGCTCAGCGGTTAGAGCGTCGGACTGCGGTCCGGAGAGAGCCGGGTTCGGTTCCCGCTAAGGGCATGTACCTTGGTTGCAGTTTGTCCCCAGCCCTGGTTGGGTCGTGTGGGTGGCAACCACTCGATGTGTTGCTTTCACGTCGATGTTTCTCTCTCTCTCTCTCCCTCTCACTCTATCTGAACAAAATATCGAAAAATGTTCTCGGATGAGGATAAAAAATAAATAAATAAATAAATGTGATACACCACATAAACAAAATTAAAAATAAAAGTCACATGATCATATCAATAGATGCTAAAAAAGCATTCAACAAAATCCAGCACCCATTTCAGACAAAAATGCTCAGCAATGTGGGAATAGAGGGATCATATCTCAACATAATAAAGGCTATAAATAAAAGACGTACAGCCAACATCATTCTCAATGGGCAAAAATTGAAAGTATTTCACCTAAGAACAGAAACATGACAAAAATGCCCACTTTTGCCACTCTTATTTAACATAATAGTGGAAGTCTTAGCCACAGCAATCAGACAGGAAGAAAAAATAAAAGGGATCCAAATGGGAAAGGAGAAAGTGAAACTGTCATTATTTTTAGATGACATGATACTATACATGGAAAACCCCAAATACTCCATCAAAAATTTATTAGACTTAATAAATGAATTTGGCAAAGCAGTAGAATACAAAATTAATGTCAAGAAATTGATGGCATTCTTATAAACCAATGATGGAACTCACAGAGAGACTAAAAGAGCAATCCCATTTACCATCACGACAAAAAAATTACGATACCTAAGAATAAACTTAACAAAAAAAATAAAGGACCTGTTCGCAGAAAACTACTGGTCATGAAAAAAAGAAACAGAACAGGATATAAAAAGGTGGAAGCACATACCTTGTTCATGAATTAGAAGAATCAACATAATTAAAATGTCCATACTACCCAAAGCAATCTATAGATTCAATGCAATCCCCATCAAAATACCAAAGACATACTTCCCAAAACTAGAACAAATACTTCAAAAGTTCTTATGGAACCAAAAATGACCTCCAATAGCCACAGCAATCTTGAAAAAGAAGAACAAAGTTGGAAGGAATCACATACCAGATTTCAGGTTATACTACAAAGCCACTGAAATCAAAACAGCCTGCACAAGAACAAGCATATGTACCAGTGGAACAGAACAGAGAACACAGAAATGGACCCAAGGCAATATGCTCAATTAATATTTGACGAAAGTGGCAAGAACATACCGTGGAGTAAAGACAGCCTCTTTAATAAATGGTGTTGTGAAAACTGAACGGCTACATGCACAAAAAATGAAACTAGATGATCAACTTACACCATACACAAAAATAAACTCAAAATAGATAAAAGTCTTAAATGTGACTCATGAATCCATTAAAATTCTAGAAGAAAATGTAGGCAACAAAATTTAAGACATTATACGCAGCAGAATTTTCACTCATGCATCATCTAACGCAACAAAAACAAAGGAGAAAATGAGCACATGGAACTACATCACTCTCAAATGCTTTTCTGCACAGTAGAAGATACAATCATCAAAATGGAAAGGCAACCCACTGTATGGGAGAGTATAATTGCCAATGATACATCAGATAAGGGGTTAATTTCCAATATATATAGCGTGCTCATACAACTCAACCAAAGGAAGACAAAGAACCCAATTAAAAAATGGGCAGAGAGCCCTGGCCGGTTTGGCTCAGCGGTTAGAGCGTCGGCCTGTGGCACAGAGACCCGGGTTCGGTTCCCGCTAAGGGCACGTACCTCGGTTGCAGTTTGTCCACAGCCCTGGTCGGTTGTGTGGGTGGCAGCCACTCGATGTGTTCCTTTCACATCGATGTTTCTCTCTCTCTCTCTCTGTTCCTCTCTCTCCCTCCCACTCTACCTGAACAAAAAATGGAAAAATGTCCTCAGGTGAGGATAAAAAAAAAAATGGGCAGAGAAACTAAATAGACACCTCTCCAAACAAGACATACCAATGGCTAAGAGACATATGAAGAAACGCTCAACATCACTAATCATTAGAGAGATGCAAATTAAAACAATGAGGTATCACCTCACATCTGTCAGAATGGCCGCCATCAACAAATCAAACAATAAGTGTTGGCGAGGGTGTGGAGAAAAGAGGACTCTAGTGCACTGCTGGTGGGAATGTAGACTGGTGCAGCCACTATGAAAAACAACATGGTGTTACCTCAAAAAATTAAGAGTTAAACTTCCATTTGACCCAGTTATCCCACTTATAGCATATACCCTAAGAAGCCTGAAACACCAATCACGAAGAATATATATACCCCCATGTTCATAGCAGTACTACTTACAATAGCTAAGATCTGGAAACAGGCCAAATATCCATCAGTAGACAAATAGATAAACAAGCCGTAGTACATATACACAATGGAGTTTTATGCAGCTATAAAAAAGAAAGATCTCATCCTTTGAGACGACATGGAGGGACCTGGAAAGTATTATCCTAAGCAAAACAAGCCAAACAGAGAAAGACAAGTATCATATGATCTCACTTATTTGTGGAATATAATGAACATAACAGTCTGAAGAATGGCGTAGTTCCAGATATGTGGAAGTGGGGTACAGAGTGACAGTTCCCAGAAGAGAGGGTCGGGGGAGAGATAAACCACAGAACTTATATGCATGTATGCATGAACAATGGACATGGACAACAAAGATGGGGGCAGGGCAGGGAGGGAGGTGAGGGTGGAATCAGTGGGAGAAAAAGGATAAACATCTGTAACAAAAATAAATTAATTAATTTAAAAAAAAAACTTTAAATTCAAGAGAACATCAATATACACACCATTAATAATATATAGCTTAAATATTTCTCTACTTAATCTATCCTATCTATCCTTCTGTTCATCTATCAATATTTATTATATTTAGATATAGTTCCAAATGTCATGTGCATTCTAAAACATAAATAGAAATAGGACATGAAAAGGAGGAGAAATTTTTCACATATAAACACATACACATTGGAAACCAAGATTTTGCTCAAAATGTAATTTCAAAGTATACCTTGATAACAGGCCTCCATTTTAACAAGGTTTTTGAAATATATTACAATTTCAATGCCTCAGCAAGCTGGTTCAAATAAGATTCTTCTTTTTTGCCCTGGCCGGTTTGGTTCAGCGGTTAGAGCGTCGGCCTGCGGTCCTGAGAGACCCGGGTTCGGTTCCCGCTAAGGGCGCGTACCTCGGTTGCAGTTTGTCCCCGGCCCTAGTCGGTTGTGCGGGTGGCAGCCACTCGATGTGTTCCTTTCTCATCGATGTTTCTCTCTCTCTCTCTGTTCCTCTCTCTCCCTCCCACTCTACCTGAACAAAGAATGGAAAAATGTCCTCGGGTGAGGATAAAAAAAAAAAAAAAAAAAAAGATTCTTCTTTTAACATACTAATATTTCATTTAAGAAAAGATACATTCTCAACATTTTCTGCTATATTCCTTAATAGCCATCTCTGTTGAAACTCTTAACCAAGTTATCATTATGGAGTACCCACTGTCAATGCTAATACTGCTATTTTTAGAAATAAATGTTTCAAAAAATTATAAGATTTCTTAAAGTATAAAAAGTTAAACTAGCTGGTATCTAAATATTAACGAATATTCAGATTCATAAACAAGCTTCCAAATATACTGAATTTAAGTTTTTCAACATTCTCAGATAAAAGAAAGTTAGGGAAGCCTGGTTTTATGGCTTAGTGGATTGAGTGTCATTCCATGGACTGAGAAGTCCTGGTTTGATTCCTGGTCAGGGCACATGCCTAGGTTGTGGGCTCAATCCCCAGTAGGGGGTGTGCAGGAGGCAGCCTATCTATGTTTCTCTCTCACATCAATGTTTTCATCTCTCTCCCTTCATTTCTCTCTAAAATAAATCAATAAAAACAAATATAGGTGTGTGTGTGTGTGTGTGTATATACATATATATACACAATTATATATATACATATATATAAAGTTAGGTGTATATATAAAGTTAGATATAGATATACAAAGTTAGATGTATATATAAAGTTATATATATATATATATATGAGAGAGAGAGAGAGTTAGAGGAAACATGTGGTTTACTTGTAAATAAATAAAACAAAACAAAATCCCACACGGTTTATCTACTACTTACATCATCAATATCTTCATCATCATCTCCAATATCATCAAACTGGATTTCATCATCATCTCCAGGACCAAATGTATCTGTTTCATTGATTTTAGCTAAAGATGTAATAATAAATATAATCATATTTATAATCAAAACATTATTCAATAAATTACCTATTAAAAAAATCCTGATACAATATATTAAACTTTAAAAGAGGACTCACAAGTGGTCCTTCAATTCAAATGTTTCATCACACACACAAAAATATCTTCAAAGAACTCATCACAATCAATTTCACAATAATACTCCAAGAAGTTTACTAAGTAATTCTAATTAAGAGTGTTTGTATTATATTTTTATTTTGTTCAGAAAGTTATTGCACATAAGGCAGGCAGGCTCTAATTAAACTACCATAGTGGCTCTTACAGTTCCCAAATGTGCTTCAAAGGGTTTGAAGTTATGCTAACGGCTTCCTCAACACATGTAATGTTTTCCTAAGTAGAAACAATTTGTTCACCAACTATTAGAAAGACAAACAAAAATGGTCAAAAAGATTTACTCAAATAATGCTTTTCCTCTTAGCCAGCAATTTTCAAACTTTTTCATTTCATGTTACACATGAATTAATTACTAAAATTCTCAAGACACCAAAAATATATATATATATATTTCCCAATCTGACAAAAAAATAGGTATGTTTTATTCATTCATATTAGATTGTTAGTGTGGCGAATGTCATTTTTAAAATTAGACAATCGAAGAAAAAAAAGGTTAATGACCCTGAACACTCAGGTACTGAATGTTTTAAACATTACTGTGGCACAGTGGTTGAAAAGTCACTGCTCTAAACAATTTCTAGATATGTTTAAAATGACAATATTTTAATCAAAATTTTCATACTTATGTAAAGATTTTCTATTTTCATCATAAAAGGCAATGAATAAAATAGCTCCCAAGTGAAAAAATGTGAGCTTAGAAATCATACATTTCTTCTTTGATGTTATGAAGAACTTACTGTTTTATCTTTTTAAGTGGCCATTAAGAATAAAAATAAATAGCCCTGGTCAGTGCAGCTCAGTTAGTTGGAAGGTCATCCCACATACCAAAATGTTGTGGGTTTGATTCCCTTTCGGGGCACATACATTAATTGCAGGTGCAATTCCCGGTCAAGGCATGTAAGAAAATCAATTGATGTTTTCTCTTTCACATTGATGTCTCTGTCTCTCTCTAAAATGAAAGAAATATCTTTTTAAAATATACATAGCCCTGACCGATGTGACTTAGTTGTTTGGAGCATCATCCAGTAAACTAAAGGGATTGTGGATTCAACTGCCAGTCGGAAAACATACACAGGTTGCCAGGTTGGTCCCAGTCTGGAGTGTATTAGAGGCAGCCGGTTGATGTCTGTCTCTGTCTCTCTGTCTCTGTCTCTGTCTCTCTCTCTCTCTGGCTCTCTCCCTTTCTCTCTTTCTGTCTGATTTTCTCTCCTTCTCTGAATCCAATAAACATATCCTTGGGTAAGAAATTTAAAAAAATTTTCTTTTAACTCTATGACATACTAGTTACTATACTAAGATACATTGACCATGGTTTTTTTTTCCCTCACCTGAGAATATTTTTTCATTTTTTGTTCAGATAGAGTGGGAGGGAGAGAGAGGGGGAGAGAGAGAAACATCGACGTGAAAGGGACACATCAAGTGGCTGCCACCCACACGACCAACCAGGGCCAGGGACAAACTGCAACCGAGGTACATGCTCTTAGCAGAAACCAAACCTGGGTCTCTCTGGACTACAGGCTGATGCTCTAACCGCTTAGCAAAACTGGCCAGGGCACTGACCATTGTTTTTTAATTGTTGTCTTGATAACTGAAAACTGACAAGTCTCATTTGAGAACTATTAAAAACAGTAAACTTCCTTAACAGATTACATATAAGCTCAGAGCTTAAAAACTTAAAAAAAAAAACCTCACTCAAGTATATTTTTCCATTTATCTTCAAATAGAATGGGAGGGAGGGAAGGTTGGAGGCGAGGAAAGGAGAAAGACACAGTGTCTACCTGCTTCCCACATGACACAAACCAAATTGCAACTGAGGTACATGCCCTTGAACAGAATTGAACCTGCTACTCTTTTCACTGAGGCAAACAGGCCAGGGCAGAACTTAAAAACCTTTAAACTCTCTACCAAAAGAACATTTATTAGAAACAATTTTACTACTACAGTAGTAATACTATAAAGTATAGATACACATACTTAAAACTAATTTTTGTTAAGTACATACATGAAAAATATTTTGAAAAGACATAATTCTATCAAAATTGCTTCACTGGTTCGGCCGGTGTGGCTCAGTGGTTGAGCATCAACTCATGCACCAAGATGTCACCAGTTCGATTCCCAGTCAAAACACATGCCCAGATTGTGGGCCTGATCCCCAGTGGGGGGCATGCAGCAGGCAGCTAGTCTACGTTCTCTCCCTCCCTCCCTCTCACTTCCTCTCTTTCTAAAATCAATAAAGAAAAAACAAAAACAACCAAAAAATATTTGCTTCACTGAAACACTAACAAATTAATAATGCTGTAAGACAGGAAGACATAACTTTGACATTACCATGTTCTGGAAGCTCGCCATATGCCTTCAGACTTCTAGCTTCATCTGCATTGTACTTTAAAATTACATCAGCTTTGTTATCCTCAGAGATAAACAAATAACTTTTAAAACTAGATTTGCCAAAATAACATCAATTGTTTCATAAATTACTTTCAAATTAAACACATTAAGGAAAAGATCACTTAACTATTGTCACAAACTCTACATTCCTAAAATATCCTTGGATATAATTAAATAGAAATCATTTTTCACAATGGCCTCAAATAATAATTAATAGCTTCAAAAAACTATTTATGTAATTGATTTTAACAACAGAGACAGCAAAAGAGGAAAGAAAAAGAAAAACAGAAAAGAAGTTGCAATGTGGTAGCTTCCCTAAGAGAATTGCTTATGGTTTTAAAAAAACACAATTACTACACCTAAAGACTGACAGACCTGAGAGAAGTACAAAAATCTGTATTTAATAAGTTCTGTTTGGTATTTCTGATGCAAATTCCCTTGAGAATAGTCCTAAAATGTTTACATTTGTTCATTTAAAGAAAAAAATCGATAATCTGTAGGAGAAAGAAGTGTTTGAAGAATACTTACAACCAGAAATCTCAAAGAAAGAAAACTAAAATAATCACTGTGATACAAGTACAGTGTGACATAAAGCAAAACTTACACTGTACTCTGCATACAACATACTGAGAAATTTTACTCAAATCCAGAATCTGGCTGAACAGATACAAGACTGAAGTAAAGCCCTGGCCAGTTTGGCTCAGCAGTTAAAGTGTTGGCCTACGGACCAGAGACCTGGGTTTGGGTCCCGGTATAGGCACAAACCTTGGTTGTGGTTTGTCCCTGGCTCTGGTTGGGGTCATGTGGATGACAGCCAATAGATATGTCTCTCTCACATCAATGTTTCTCCCTCCCCTCCTCTCCCCTCCCCTCCCCTTTCCTCTCTCTCTCTCCTCCCCTTCCTCTCTCTCCCTCCAGTTCTATCTGAAATGAATGCAAAAATGTGAGGATAAAAAAAATTTTTTAAAGACGGAAGTAAAAACTTGCACTTTTAACATGCTACCAGATGGTGGTAGTGCTGCTAATCTAATTTTTGAGTCACTCTTTGGAACACATGTGTAGAATTTTTGAAGCAATTTTTCAGAGATTAAGAATCAGATTAGATGGTATAGGCTATCACTACACAGAAAACAAGAAATTAATAATTACTCTCTCTAGTTATGGAATTTATGTGAAGTTAGGAACAGATTATGGCCATGAAAAGAAGACATTTTTTAAAAGACAGATCACACTTTTTGTTTGGAAATTTTTTGATGGCGGCCATTCTGACAGGTGTGAGGTGATACCTCATTGTTGTTTTAATTTGCATCTCTCTGATGATTAGTGATGTTGAGCATTTCTTCATATGTCTCTTGGTCATTTGTATGTCCTTTTTGGAAAGGTGTCTAGTTCTTCTGCCCATTTTTTAATTGGGTTCTTTGTCTTCCTTTTGTTGATTTGTATGAGCACTCTATATATTTTGGAAATTAACCCCTTATCTGATGCACCATTGGTGATTATGATCTCTCATATAGTGGATCACTCTCCAGTTTTGATGGTTGTTTCTTTTGCTGTGCAGAAGCTTTTAAGTTTGATGTAGTTCCCTGTGTTCAGTTTTTCTTTATTTCTCTTGCCTTAGATGTTGTATCAATAAAAATTCTGCTGTGTATGAAGTCTGAGATTTTGATGCCTACATTTCCTTTTAGAATTTATATGGATTCATGAATTACATGTAAGTCTTTTATCCATTTTTAGTTTATTCCTGTGTATGGTGTAAGTTGATGTTCTAGCTTCATTTTTTTTGCAAGTAGCTGTCCAATTTTCCCAACACCATATACTGATCCAGCAATATATTTAAAAGATTATTTACTATAACCAAGTGCAATTCATTCTATGAATGTAAGGCTTCTAAAATATTTGGAAATCAATAAATGTGATACACCACATAAATAAAATGAAAGATAAAAGTCATATGATTATATCATCAGATGCTGAAAAAGCACATGACAAAATCCACCAATCATTTCTGATACAAATGCTCAGCAAAGTAGAAATAGAGGGATCCTATCTCAATTAGTGAAGGCCATATATGAAACACTTAAAGCCAAATCATACTCAATGGACAAAAACTACAAGCATTTCCCTTAAGAACAGGAACAAGACAGAGATGCCTATTTTCACCACTCTTACTCAGTATAGTACTGGAAGTTTTAGCCACTACAAATAGACACAAGAAAAAGTAATGGAGATCCAAATTAGAAATGTTATTATTAATACATGACATAACATAGTACATAAAAAACCCTAAAGACTCCATCAAAAATCTACCAGATTTAATAACTGAATTTGGCAAAGTAGCAGGATACAAAAATCAATGTCAAGAAATCAACAGCATTCGTATACACCAGTGATGAACTCACAGAAAAAGAAACTATAAGTAAAATACCAAACACTATCGGAGCAAAAAATTAACATAGCTAGGAATAAACTTAACCAAAGAGGTAAAGGATCTCTTCTACAGGTCACTGAAAATAGAAACAGAAGAAGATATAAAAAAGTGGAAGCATATACCTTGTTCATGGACTGAAAGAATTAACATCATTAAAATGTCCACATTACCCCAAGCAGTCCACAGATTCAATGCAATCCCCATCGAAATACCAATGACATATTTCACAAAACTAGAACAAGCACTCCAAAAATTTAAATGAAATCAAAAAAGACCTCGAACAGCCACATAAATCTTGAGGGGAAAAAAAACAAAGTAGGAGGGATCACATTACCAGATAGCAGGTTATACTACAAAGCCACTGTAATCAAAACAGCCTGGTAGTGGCACAAGAACTGACAGATAGATCAATGAAACAAAACAGAGAACCCAGAAATTGACCCAATTATGCTCAATTAATATTTGACAAAGCTTGCAAGAGCATACAGTGGAGTCAAGACAATCTCTTCAATAAATGGTGTTGGAAAAATTGGACACCTACATGCAAAAAAAAAATAAAGCTAGACCAACTTACACCATACCCAAGAATAAGCTCAAAATGGATAAAAGACTTAAATGTAACTCGTGAATCCATAAAAATTCTAAAAAAAATGTAGGTAACAAAATTTCAGACATCATATGCAGCAGAATTTTCACTGATGCAACACCTAAGGAAAGAGGAAAAAAAGAAAAAATAAACACAAGGGACTATATCAAACTAAAAAGCTTTTTCACAGCAAAAGAAACAATCATCAAAATGGAAATGGAACCCACCATATGAAAGATCTTAATTGACAATGATGCATCAGATAAGGGATTAATTCTCAAAATATATAAAGTACTCATACAACTCAACAAAAGAAAGCCAAAAACACAATTAAAAAATGAGCAGAGGACCTAAATAGACACTCCTCCAAATAGGATATACAAATGGTCAAGAGACATATAAAAAAATGCTCAATGTCACTAATTATTAGAGATGCATATTAAAACAACTATGAAGTATCACTTCACACCTGCCAAAATGACCACCATGAACAAATCATCAAACAATACGTGTTGGCGAGGGTATGGAGAAAAGGGGACTCTAATACAGTGCTGCTAGGAATGCAGACTGGTGCAGCCACTATGAAAAACAATATGGTGTTACCTCAAAAAATTAAAAATTGCCCTGAACCAGTCTGGCTCAGTGGTTAGAGTGTTGGCCTGTGGTCCAGAAAGACCCGGGTTCAGTTCCTGCTAAGGGCACATACCTCTTGCAGTCTGTCCTGGGCCCTAGTTGGGTTGTGCAGGTGGCAGCCACTTGATGTGACCCTTTCACATCGATGTTTCTCTCTTTCTCTCCCTCTCTTTCTCTCTCTCTCCCCCTACCACTCTATTTTAACAAAAAATGTAAAAATGTCCATGGGTGAGAATTAAAAAAAAACTTAAAATTAAAAATTGAACTGCCTTTGACCCGTGGTCCTAATTCTAGGAAGATACCCTAAGAAACCTGAAACACCAATAAGAAAGAATATATGTACCCCTATATTCATAGCAGCTCTATTTACAATAGCTAAGATCTGGAAACAACCCAAGTGTCCATCAGTAGATGAGTAGATTAAAAAGCTGTGGTACATGTACAATGGAATACTATGCAGCTGTAAGAAAAAAAGATCTCTTATCCTTTGAGATGGCATGGAAGGACCTGGAGAGTATTATGCTCAGTGAAACAAGCCAAGCAGAGAAATACAAATATCACATGATCTCACTTATTTGTGGAATATAATGAACTAAACAAACTGCTGAACAAAATTAACCCAGAGACACAAAGGTGGGGTACAGACTGACAAGCTTCAGAGGAGGGGGATTTGTGGGGGAAGAGATAAGTCACAGAATTTACATGCATGTATGCATGACCAATGAACATAGACAACACAGCTGGGAATGGGGTGGGCGGGAAGGGGAGGAGGGTGTCAATGGGGGAAAAATGAGAAACATCTGTAACAAAAACAAATAAAAACTTAAAAAAAAAAGAAAGAAAACTAAACCATGATCAACATGGAAAGTGAAACACTTTCTGGGAGAACATATTTGCCAGTGATACACTGGATAAGGGGTTAGTATCTAAAACAGAGTACTTATACAACTCAACAAGAGGAAGACAAAAATCCAATTAAAAATGGCAAAGGACATACATAGACACTTCTCCAAACAGGACATACAAATGGCCAAAAGACACATGAAAAAATGAACACTTCACTCATCATCAGAGAGATGCAAATTACGACTATGAGATACCACCTCATACTTGCCAGAATGGAGGCCATCAACATATTATCAGACAAGTGCTGGTGAGAATGTGGAGAAAAGGGGACTCTAGCACACTGTGGGAATACATACTGGTGCAACCACTATGGAAAACAATATGGTGTTTCCTCAAAAAATTAAAAACAGAACTGCCATTTGACCCAATTATTTTATTTCTATATCCTAAGAAGCCTGAAATACCAATCAGAAAGAATATATGCACCCTTGTGTTCATATGAGCTCTATTTAGAATTGTTAAGATCTGG